ATGGAAAGGCACAAAAAGTAGAAGCCACAAATTGACCAGGACTGCAAGATGTAGACCTTTAGTGCACTGACTTTAACTAAAAGGGACTTCTTAAAGTTATGAGTCATTGCACTTAAAGCACATCTGCGAATGATTTTACTGGGACAGGGTTACTAGTATATTAGGCTAAAATATGGAAATTTATATGAAGCAAAATACAGTTTTCCTTGAAGATTGTTACACTATTATTGAGACAACCTGAAATTTCGCCCGTTAAAAAAATGTTTAGATTGATATATGGTTTAAAATGAGTATACCTGCACACCAAACTCTTTTTGAAGTAAATGATGGGTCAATGCACTAAAGCGGAATGTAGGTGATTTTATAGAAAACAAATTTCCATATTAGCTATGTTTTTGAAGCATCTTATCTATCGAAAGATTGCAACAGAAAAACTGATTTTCTCTAGAAGAAATTTTATTCTTATAATTCGTTCAAAGCTGTAGAGCCCCCGTCCTACCAAAGCCTCGATTAGCCTTTTTTGGTATTCTGTTTTACGTATGAGAAAGTTACTATATGTTGTCGTCTGCTGCACGTAATGTTGTTTCTGTCTCGCAGTCAAGAAGAAGTTCCGGAAGTCAGATAACAATTGAGAGAGTCTTCTATAAAATATGTTTATTCCTCAAGTGGGATCAAGATGAAAGCAAACGGCGGCGTATATCCGATGTCGACTATCATCATCCCTCCAACGAGTGTTCATTTTACTTTAAACAAAGAATTTGTTTGGATAACGAGCGGCTGCGGGTTCCTTCAAACAAGATCATTTAAGTAGAATGTTTCATTGCACACAATAGAAAAAGTACATGTCATTGAACTGAGCAGGAAAAGGATTTAGCGCAGAAATAACGAAAGAAGAGGAGGAAGTGGAACGAGTGAATAAACTCAGAGAGATCAAGGTCAAAATAGTATAGAAGAATTCAAGTGTTTTCGCAGGTAACCTCAACTAAAAAAGTGACTGGGCTGAGAAAAAAGTTGAAAGAAAAGAAACAAACGAGAAAGGAAAATGTTCACCCAAAATAATCCTTCTCCATTTGACTGTGATAGACCCTAGCAATAGATCATTCCATTTTGTCTGAGGTATGGTGCTTCCCCAGGAAATTGAGGTTTACATAAAAGCAGCAGTGATGGACATGCATACAGAACTGCAATATGTGAACTAAAGGAAATAACAATGTGCACAAATCTATTCTTTCCCATCTTTCTCTTAGCACACTAAGTAATCAGTCAATTTTCCAGAGAACGAATGCGAAAACAGAGCGTGAAGAAAATCAATTTTGGTGCAGAAATTAAATTTGTTTCACTTGTTCTATTGCACGAAAAAGAGAGGTGAATTATCCTCTCGTTAGTTTGAAATATAAGTTGCTTTCCTATTCATAACGTCAAACTTTTTGCCAGCCTCATCTGGGTTTCTTCATGGATAAATTTTCTTGTAGATGACTCTTGTGTGCTCCATCAGTTGATGTGTGACGGTAGTGCTCATAAGCAGTCGCGCTTCAAATCTCTCCTCATCCAGAAGTGTCCATTCCCGGAACATCTCAAAGGAATTCCTTTGCAGTCATAGCGCTCATTCTTTGCAAAATGGGCTAACGTACCAATCGAACTGCAGAGTCGTGCGAGAAACTTATCCTCCCAATGCGGACAAGCTTGAATCGGACTTGTTTCGGGCCGACTTCGGCTTCTTCGAAAGTCATAAATCCTGAAATATTAGATCAGGAATGAAACGAGTATCCCTTTGAAAATCCTCTCAAAATTGTTCATATCCCTTAATTTTCAGCAACTTCAATAAAGTTTAGCTTTCATGCTTTGCTAATCAACTTTTTGAAATTAGGTCCGATTGTGCAAGTTTTCTTGCTTCTAGTTGTATGTGTACTATACAGTACCTAGATAGGCCAAAGTTCTTCCTTTTTCTAATCTGCCTTATAACATATGTACACAAACATAGCCAGGCATGAACAATTAGCTTCCTCAAACTGTAAGTCGCAAATGCTGACGTAAAATCTAATTCTATAATGGAAGTGGCTGCTGTTTTCATTGCCATTATCGCAGCCACAATTCTACAATTGAAACCTTACTAGGTTTGCTTAACAATGATACTCATGTTCAAACTAAAAAATCCGCATCATTAAATGATAGATCTTCTGACAGAAATATATTTAGGATTTTCGACTTATACGGCAGCAGATATGCAAAGTTTGGAGAGATAAAATATGTTTGAAAAAGAAGAATTCAAGTGTAAAAACTTTGAGACTGTGGACT